TCCGTGTTTTTGACATAATTTCACTGTTCCTTTTAATTGAAAATTTTATTGAATATTATCAAATAAGTATTTACTTGAACCAGATATTTTTTATTTAAATTAAATAAATTGTATTTGAACCAATAATTTCTTTATTTCAAAGAAATACCATATCAAATAATAATTATTTGATACAAATAAATATTTATTTGATAATAGTCAATTAACTGATTATTTGAGGTTATTTAAATTTACATTTTTTTCTTTTGAACAATCATTGAATGTTTACTATATTTTTTGTAATAATTTTTGAGAACAATATTAAATTTATAATAAAAATTGAAAATTTAGGTACATTTCAAGTATTACGTTAGCATTAAAAAATGAAATGAAAGTTTTAAATGAAATCGTACTCTAAATTTAAATTAATTAAAAGTGAGCTACTAATTCGCATTATTAAAATTTTTTATTAATTTTTAGTAAAATATTACTATTTGATTTAGTAGTTTAACATTTTTTTTTTACTAAAGATTCAGTAAAAAGTGACTAAAAATTAGATTTTCACTAATTTAAATTAGTTAACGAATTTTCTCTAATTTTTTAGAAAGTACCAAATTTACAAGTCTGACTCATACAAATTTTTACTACTGACATCAAATTCAAAAGAATTTACTGTACATATTTTTTTCAGATTAAAACTTACTCTCTAAATCTGAATTAGTGAAAAGTGAGCTACTAATTTAAATTAGTAAGAATTTTCATTACTTTTTAGTCACTTTTTACTAAAGCTTTAGTAAAAAAAATTATAAACTACTGAATTAAATAGTAATATTTTACTAAAAATTAGTAAAAAATCATACTAATGTAAATTAGTAGCTCAAATTTAGAGAATAGTTTTACTACTTTTAAGAATTCACTTTTTAGTATCTAAATCTGAATTAGTCACTTTTAACAATTATTTTTCACAAATTTTTACCCTCCCCCCTCCCCTTCGAAATTCATTGATTCGTAAAAATTTTCAAACTTTTCTAGACCTGCTTTCCTAAAAGTGAACTAATTTGAATTAATGGCTTTCTTTTTGCTTTTAAATTAGTAAAATTTAACTAATTCAAAAGCAAAAAGAGTGAGTCACTAATTCTAATCCATATTTTTGAGAAACACCGTACACTGAGAAAAAAAATTTAGTGTTTGCAACAAAATTGTTTGGTTAGGCAATTTTTGTTCTTGTAACGAAATTTTGGTTGGCTGAAACAAAGTCGTAGAGTTATCTCAACCAAACATTTGGTTAGGCCAACAAAATTATTTGGTTGAGCAAACCAAACATTTTTGTTGTGCCAACAAAAAACACTCAACCAAATTTTTTGATTGACTCAAACAAATAGTTTGGTTGCTTAAATACCAACAAAATTTTTTTGTTGGCCCAACCAAATTTTGGTTGCTCTGACTAAACATTTTTCTCAGTGTAGAATTCAAATATTTTTAGTTAAAATTTTTACCACTCTCTAAATCTGAATTAGTAAAAATATTTACTAATTTAAATTAGTGACTCACTTTTTGCTTTAGAATTAGTTAAATTTGACTAATTCAAATTAGTAAACATTTCTACAAATTCAGATTTAGAGAGTAATTCAAATTTAGTGAGTATGTTACTTGCGTTACAGACACCAAAATACATAACAAAAAAACGTTTAGTCTGGTTATAACTGTCTTTTATTACTGATATCAAAATTACTTTTACCACTGAAATAAAACTTTTAAAAAGATTTAAAATATGCTAGCGTTATAATTGAATGACCCTTATAGTTGGACTTATTGAAAAAGCAGTAATCAATTTTTTAAATAAATAGAAAATTGACTAAATTGTATTTTTAGTTATATTTAAGAAATTTTAATTACTTAATAATTATTATAATTATAATTAATTCCTTATAGAAATTAATTGAATTAATTTTATTTTTACTTTTGATATAAATAAATATAATAATATGTGTCTTGAATAAATTTACACACAAATATATAAAATTGCACATGCGGCTAAGAATAAACTCGATTTGGAAATAGAATTACTGAAGCATATCTTAGTGAAAAATAAATTTGAGAAATTTATTTCTGTCAATTTCATTTCCAGACACGTATTGTTGATATCAAAGTGCAAATCGTCTACAGTAGTTGGACTTTCCAATAGAACTACGTCAGCACTAGTTCCGAAAGCACATACAGTTTCATGACCCCCCCCCCTTCCCTGCCCTCCGCCTTGACTTTCTCTCTCTCTATCTCTCTCTCTCTCTTTCCACCCGCTCTCGTAAATCAAACAAACCATTTCGTCAGAGGCACATTCTACACACCCTGTACGGCACGAATCTTCGTAATTTCAAGTGTTTCCCCGTATCTCGGTTTACTATTCTCAAATATCTACCCATGTTATCCGTCAATCTCTTGAGTGAATCATGTTTAGAGGAAAATATTTGACATAGTCACTCGAGGTACAAATGACAGTATTTGCGAAATTTTAACAAAACCTTATTTCTATAGAAAATAAAGTTTTCACACTTTAAATCGTATATATAAATATTGAGAAAAAGAAATATTTTTAAATCTATTTCAAAATTAAACGTGTGATAATAGTTGAAACAATTTTTGAAAAAAATTTAAAAATATAAATTTAATTGCAAACAACTTTTCATTGATTACAAAAAATCAATTTAGCCAAAAAATAGTAATTTATCAATTATTTAACAAGGATTCATAATTTATTTAAAATAACTTTTTCCAAATGTTAGAACAGCAGAAATTGCAAAAATTAATTTTATAAATTTTGGTTTATTTTATAAACAGTTTTAATGTCTAATTTCACAGTTATGGCATTATAAAACTTATTTGTTGAATTTAGATTAATAATTTATTAATCAAACATAATTTATGGAGAAAAAATTGTAACGACAGCATAGTTCTTATCGTTTTCCTATTTCAGTTATATGGATTTTCTCGTAAATACTACAAAGATTTATACAAATATTACATTCTATTCTGTAAAACTAAAAAACTGTTTTGTAAAGCTTGCTGTAATTGTTTTGCAAAATTTAAAAATTATTTTCTAAAAATTACAAAATGTATTGTAAAATTTAAAAATTATTTTTTAGATTTTAAAAATTGTTTTGTAAAAACTTTAATTCAGAATTTCCAGCTTAGAGACACTTATTGCATCTGGAAGTTCACTTATTAAATTAAAAAAAAAAAAGTTTCAATTTACATTATCTTTTTGCAAAAACGATAGAAAAGCTATTCTTCACTACAAAAACTAGTCGTCTTAAAAGTGCAAAAAACGTATTTTTTTAAGACACATTTAGTGTCTTAGAAGCAAAAAACGTCTTAAAACAAGACGTTTTTTGTACTTTTAAGACGGCCAGTTTTTACAGTGCGTCAACATATTTTAATAGAGACACTGTTTGTAACCGTTACAATATTTTTCTCATGTAAAAAGAATTCAACAAATTGGCTTTTAACAATTAATAATTTTCCATTGGAACAATACATTCCATTTGTGGTAACTTTTTTATATTAAAAAAAAACTAAAAATTAAAGTACTTTAAAGTTAAAAAAGTTTTAAATTTAAATAAAGAAATTTAAAAATTACAGTTAAGAAAACTATGTTTACAGTTGATAAAATTTTTTATTCAAAAAGAAGCTTTAAATATTTAAATTTAAAAGTGAAAAATTTAAATATTCCATTGAGTTGTCATTGTAAAAATAAAATCTTATTTTAAGAGATTCAAAGAATTTTATTTCAAGTTGTAACATTTTTAAGACAAACTTTATTGATTCTTTTTGCTGAATTTTTATACTGATTGTCAGCGCTTTAACCCTCCGCCTACTCATGTGACTGTTATCGTCTAAAATCGTTTATTCCAACGTCTGATGGGGGATTAAGGGAATTACGTTCTTTAACGCTCTCAGAGAAGGCAGTAGGTTAAAGGTCCTGTATTTAAATTATCAGATAAAATTGGCAGCTTTATGTTGAATTTAAGAAAAAGTTTTTTAAAATTAACGCTCCAAAATGGGTGAATTTCAAGTGCTTTCTAAAATTCACATATATGGGACATTCTTTCTCATACAAGTAAAAAATTAAAAGTTATTTGATTGGTTTAAAATTATTATGAAGATAAAAAATTCCTAAAATATCAGCTCATTTAAAAAAAAATTTATAAAAACTAAAAGGAGTTAAAGTCATTTTCAGTACTGTTCTGGAAAATAAGACGTAATTTTAATAAAAGAGATATTAAAATTTAAGAAAAAAATTTTTTATCATTAAAAAGCATATAAAAAATACCTTTAAATTTATTATATAAAAATTAAAATTCGTAAAATTTTATTACAGCAATATGAATTTGAAAATTACTGTGTCACTTGAAACTTCAGAATTCTAACTTCTTTCACTTTCTACAATTTTTTTGAATGAACTAATATTTTACGGATTTTTTACTCTTATATATAATAATAAATTTACCATTGTTTCAAGCCAATTCAATATCTTTTAATTTTTACATTTCATTTGAGGAAAATTGCCTTATCTTATTTTAACACATCAATTAAAATTTTTAAAAAACATTATTTTAAAAATTATTTTAATTCCAGATATATCTTAAATAATAAGAATTTCTTTCTACTCTAATTGTACCATAACTATGAAATGATTTAAATTTTTCAATTAAAATTCAATTTTCTAATTAGATATCCCAAAAATGAAAACTGTTAATTATATTTTAAAAGAAGGATTAAAAGTGAAATATTAAATATATATTTTAAAATTAATTGATGTGAAGCTTTTGCAATATTCTCTGTAGACAAAGAGTAATTATATAAGAATGTTATATTTTCTTTATTGTATTAGAATGAATCTATAGTTAAAAATAAAAGTATATAATTTTTAGTTAGTGTTTATATATGATAATAATTATAATAATAATAATAATTAGTGGAGCATAAAAAATGATCGTGATACTTAAACACCGTAAAACACTCAGTTTCCCTGGTTGTGCAAATCGTCGCCTACCACGTCTGCAACAACACCACCTCCACCGGTACCAAGTTCTTGTTCCGGTTCTGGTTCCGCTTCTGCATCTGGTTCAGGGGCCCAGGGCGTCGTTCTCTGTCCACGAACATTGGCTCAGGTTCGCCGATCCAGGCTACGAAGAGCCCTCACCGAAGCAACTGCCGAGACCGTCAACTACGTCAAGACGGTGGGAATACCAAAAAGCAAATTCTTAACTCACAATATTAGTCGTTCTCCAAATCACACAAAAAAATAAAAAAGATAAAGCCACCAATCACTCTTTAATATTAACCTGCATTCTCAAACGTATTCTCTCTATTATCGTTTAATTCACAATTTTTCCCACTCCCCAAGAAGCGCATAATTTCACAGTAATATGATTTGAAAGATTAGTAATTAGGGTATAATATTACCTACTACTTGGGTCAAGTTCTCAATTTTTAAATATTATAATCGACATTTTTCTAATTTTATTATATTTTTTCATTTTTTTTTTTTAATTTTGCTTTGAATTTATTTCTCTTATAAAAAATAAATAAATTTTCTAACGAGTCATTGGCGTCACTCTGTCTACCAACGTTTGCTATTATTATAATAAATAGCACTCTCACATAAATAATTTATTAATAATTATTTTATTGATTGGGGATTAATTACTTTACCGATAATCAATTAAATAGTCATTAATTAATTTTATTTACACGGAGACAAATATTTCGCATTGATTATATATAAATTATGATTGATATTTGTGCAACAGAATATATTTAATTGGCCCAAAAAAAAAATTTGATTGATTAAATAAATCTTTGTCTGAATGAATGTGAATTTAATTACCAAAAATTTTGCTTGGCTAATTAAAAAAGTTCAATTGCTTAAATAACAATAAAAATATATTTTGTTGACAGGAGAAAATATTAGTCTCAGTGTAGCGGTTATTCAATCATTTACAAAAATTGTTAATTAATTAACAACATTACACAATGAACAAATTTCATTCAAAAATGTAAATTAGTATTTAAAAATTAAAAGAGTTTAATGTAAACAAATTTTGAAAAACACTTTTTATTATACTTTAATAAACTAATTATCTAGTTAAATAAATTTAAAAGATATTTTTGAAATAAAAAATTTTCTTTTTAGAAAGCAAATTATTGTTAATTTTAATTTTAATTGCAATTATTAGTTAATTATTTTATTTCAATTATTGACATACATATTGAATATATTTCTTATAATGATAACACAGTGTTACAAAAAATTTAAAAATTAAATTACTTTGAATCGGACCTACCCTAACTTGTTCGTCTTGAAAAACTGAAAAAAATGGCGTATATTAAATCTCTCAAACACCCAAAAAATTTCATTTTAGAGCAAAAAAACCGTTTTTTTTGCAGTTTTTGTATAAACTAGCTTGTAACTTTAACATTTTTGGTCAAAATTTAATATATTTTTTTCATTTTAAAGCTGAAGAAAAAAGTTTTTTAACCCTAACAAGTGTTTTTTGTTATAATTAAAAATAAGTCCAAAAAATTTTTAAAAAAATGATCAAAAATTGTAAATTTTTAAGTTATCTTTCAACTTAAACACTAATTTACTGTCACAATTTCATTTAGAATAATTTTTTTCTGTTCATGCTTTTATGCAGTATTTAATTCTGCGTCGAATGAGATTTTTTTGAACAGGATTCGTTAAAAATTAGCTGAGTTATTGCAGTTTTTATTTTCATAGTCACACTATTAGGTTTAATCTAGAATTAAATTCTCTTATTTTCTGCTTTTAATTATTACAGGTGTAATTTTGATTTACTTTCAACAACTTTTCACGTTATGTGACCTTTTCGTTTAAAAGTTTTCATTAAAAAAAATATACAAAAATCAATTCCCGTAAAATATTAAAGTTTTCATTTAAGTATATATTTAAATTTAAATTCCTTAATTCTAGACTTTTATAAAAAATTTTAAAATCAATCTTACAAATAAAAAATAAAGACCAAAGTTAAAAGAAATTACTTTTAATTTTAAGTTTTCTCTCACAACAAAAGGATATCCTCAGGATATCCTCAGGATATCCTAAACTAATGTAGGATATCCTGGAAACGTCCATAGGATATCCTGAGGTAATCCTCAGAACATCCAAACCGCCGTTACGTAGGATATTTTTGGGATATCCTGGGGATATACTGAAAAGACATACTTTTCTCCCGCTACACAGGAAAGAAATGGTGTACTTTCGGTGCGTGTATTAGAACGAAAATTTTTCATTCGGTCAGTCCCATAAAAAACGAATTTAAAGTGTCGAAAATCGCATTTTTGGCTTAAATATATGAGGAGCCGGATCGTGTAACTCGATTTGCGCTCGGGCCGGTTGCTCTGGAGCCAGTCAAGACGGTCAGAAAAGATAAAAAAAAAAATTCGGAATTTTCAATTTTGAAAATTACTGCCATATAGAGAATGAAAATGCGCATCTTTTTCGTTAATGAAATTTTTTTGTACGATTATTATTTTTAATAATAATGGGAAAAAACTGCAAATTTTTTATTTTCGAATTTAATTAATTTTCTAAACATAAATCGTCACTGCTCGTACAAATCTTAGTGAAATTAATTGAAAATTGGTATACTTACGTATTTGGGTCTTCCGAAGACGATAAAATGATAAAAACATTTTAAAAAATTTATTGAAAAATTATTTGTTAATGTAAACAGAGACCTGTCGGTAAATACGTTTTCTCAACTTCAACGAGAAAAAGTATGCGGGAAACTTTCGAGTTAACAATACTTCCAGTGAGACATTTGTTTATTATTATATAAAGAAGTTTTTTGGAAATTTTCGTGCCGTTTCATCAACAACTTTAGAAGATATAAACATTTTCTGAAAATGGAATTTGCGCGTCAGCACCATCGCCACAGCAGACTTCCCACGGAGACCTACAATAAGTGAAAACTGACTCATTTCAGGTGCAATCAGTCAATAAAAATATTTAAAATGGAACGCCACTTGTTACACTATTATTGTTGTGCATCAAAACAAACGAAAATCAAAACAAACGAAGGTCAAAACAGATTAACCTACATTACAATAATTTAGTAAAAAGAATTAAAAAAACTTGCAAAAATTGAAAAAAGTTTATAGTAAAATGATAAATAATTAATCAAGAAAAATTATTTATAAATAACAAAATATTTCTTAAAATGTAGTACAAAAAATACGAATCAGTTTTCACCTATTGTAGGTCTCCGCGCGAAGTCTGCTGTGGCGATGGTGCTGACGCGCAAATTCCATTTTCATAAGATGTTTATATCTTCTAAAGTTGTTGATGAAACGGCACGAAAATTTCCAAAAAACTTCTTTATATAATAATAAACAAATGTCTCACTGGAAGTATTGTTAACTCGAAAGTTCCCCGCATACTTTTTCTCGTTGAAGTTGAGAAAACGTATTTACCGACAGGTCTCTGTTTACATTAACAAATAATTTTTCAATAAATTTTTTAAAATGTTTTTATCATTTTATCGTCTTCGGAAGACCCAAATACGTAAGTATACCAATTTTCAATTAATTTCACTAAGATTTGTACGAGCAGTGACGATTTATGTTTAGAAAATTAATTAAATTCGAAAATAAAAAATTTGCAGTTTTTTCCCATTATTATTAAAAATAATAATCGTACAAAAAAATTTCATTAACGAAAAAGATGCGCATTTTCATTCTCTATATGGCAGTAATTTTCAAAATTGAAAATTCCGAATTTTATTTTTTATCTTTTCTGACCGTCTTGACTGGCTTCAGAGCGACCGGCCCGAGCGCAAATCGAGTTACACGATCCGGCTCCTCATATGCTCTAATTATAAACTTCAAGGCCCAGATTTGAAAGATGATTGACAATCACGAGAAACCTATTTGTATCAAAAAATCGCTATCTCAAATAGTCATAATTTGAATCATAATGATATCCTAGGGAGATCTTAACGATATTTCTAGAATATTTTAACGATATACCAAGTTTATCCCAAGAATATCCCCACACGATATCACTAGGATATCTCTGGAATATACTCAGGATATGCCAGAATATCCTCAGTATATCCCGAAAATATCCCAAAAATATCCTACGTAACGGCGGTGTGGATGTTCTGAGGATATCCTCAGGATATCCGTTTGTTGTGAGAGAAAACTTAAAATTAAAAGTAATTTCTTTTAACTTTGGTCTTTAATTTTTATTTGTAAGATTGATTTAAAATTTTTTTATAATAGTCTAGAATTAAGGAATTTAAATTTAAATATAATATAAATGAAAACTTTAATATTTTACGGGAATTGATTTTTGTATATTTTTTTTAATGAAAACTTTTGAAAGAAAAGTTCACATAACGGAAAAGTTGTTGAAAGTAAATCAAAATTACACCTGTAATAATTAAAAGCAGAAAATAAGAGAATTTAATTCTAGATTAAACCTAATAGTGTGACTATGAAAATAAAAACTGCAATAACTCAGCTAATTTTTAACGAATCCTGTTCAAATAATCTCATTCGACGCAGAATTAAATACTGCATAAAAGCATGAACAGAAAAAAATTATTCTAAATGAAATTGTGACAGTAAATTAGTGTTTAAGTTGAAAGATAACTTAAAAATTTACAATTTTTGATCATTTTTTTAAAAATTTTTTGGACTTATTTTTAATTATAACAAAAAACACTTGTTAGAGTTAAAAAAAACTTTTTTCTTCAGCTTTAAAATGAAAAAAAAAATATTAAATTTTGACCAAAAATGTTAAAGTTACAAGCTAGTTTATACAAAAACTACAAAAATATGGTTTTTTTGCTCTAAAATTAAATTTTTGGGGTGTTTGAGAGATTTAATATACACCATTTTTTTCAGTTTTTCAAGACGAACAAGTTAGGGTAGGTCCGATTCAATGTAATTTTTCACTGTAACACTGAAATTATAAATGATTTTGTACAAATTCTTTGGATTATTATCATTTAAATAGTTTTATAATAATTTTTAATTATTTCATATTTTAAAATTCAAAAATTGTTATTTTCTGTTTCATCTTTATATGATCAAAATTTTAACACAAGCGCCTGGAGCCTTTAGAGAAACTTTTTATAATTCCCCTTCGAAACATTATTTGCATCAACAGGGAATTAAATTTAACTTGCAACACGTGGGTAATTTAATT